AGCCGATTTAGCAGCGCATGTACACGACTAAAGACCTATCCTGATCCCAATCACTCGATAAACCGCTTTTTAATCCAATTAGACAATGAGTTTTCACTTATTGGCCGACAAATCCTACAGAATTTGACACAGTGAAAACTAGCCTTTAGTGGCTTCCATGGTTGGCAGAGAATGCATGTTTTAGAATGTTTATTGGTCTTGGTGCGCACGACCACGCGGTAGGTCCGATTCCTGATCCAACCAAGATCCCAAACGTTTTTTGTCAATGGCGGTTGTCCCTCGGGAGGCAATGGCAAACCTCCCAGTGAACTTCTTCCAAAATCACCATCTACCGTTCGGAGGCACATAAAACACCAAGGCGTGCACCACAAATTCGAAGAGCTCAGCAAAGTACTTAGCAAAAATGTTTAAAGCTTCAATAATTTTGTTATTGTTAACTTTGAAAAGTTTGGCATTAAAATATAAGCATATTGGAAGCGAAAATTTAGTATTTTGGGTCACTGTATGTTAGCTGCGATGGATTCAACTTCTATTTCTAACAACTAATTTTTAGCAAAAAAAAACCGACTTCAACTCTCGTACAAAAAAATATATATATATTATCTCATGATCCACTGATCGGATCTTAACCAGATTAGTATGGGACCACCTCTGAGACACTACCTTTCCGATGCATAAAGAATTATGGAAATCGGTTGACGTGGTCCAAAGTTATGCGGTAATATACATAAAAAAAAATATTCCGACGAACTGATAACCTCCTCCTTTTTTGGAAGTCGGTAAAAAAAAATGAATTCTCATTTAAGCCGTGCGCTTCTATTTTCAAAGAAAGTCGTTAGCGTTGATGACGGCGCCATGTGACGATGTTAATAACATTCAATTAGTAAGTTCTTTTAAGAAGTAACATTTTTTGGTATTTCATATTTTAACTCAATACTTGAAAATACCTAACATTAGTTACGAAAACTGGTACACAAGAAAACATACATATGAAAATTCGTAAACAAGCAACGACTCGGGTAATTACCAAAGAGCACAAGTCAGTATTTTTGCGTTATGGCAAATTTTGATGCATGATTTCGATTAATTTTAGGGAGATCTATCATACTGCGTCAAAATCGGAAAAATGCTCAATACGATCCAAATATCAAATGTACTGCTAGTTCCCGCTATCCGCTACCAAACACAACTTCTAAGCACACATACTCAATCCAATACATAGAACTCAATCCAATACATAGAATTAATTTACAATTTCAGCCATAAAAGTTCTACATACGAGTATATGTACAGATTTAGGTAGAACATTAACAGTCAGATGTACCTTGTAACAAATCAAAGAATATAGAAAATAAAGAAGCTGCACAGGTATTTTCTTTACACTTTGAATGCGTACTTATGTAGTTATAAACAAATAATGGCAAAAACATTTCTTTTCAATGCACAAATATTGGTAAGATTTTTATTAGTTATTGTAATAGTTGGTACACACAAAAATTAGGTCGATGAAAAGAAAACAAAAACCAATATTAATAATTTTTGTTCTTGTTGCATTATATATATGTATCATAACCAAAAAAAAAAAAACTTTATTCTATGTATGTAGATGTGTTATATCTAATACACCGGCAAGTCTTTAGCTTAATTTATAAAAAAAAACGCGCATTAATAATCGTGTATGTATGTATGTTAACGAATGAAAACCATAAACTTAGATTTTGTTGATTTGTTTGTTATTAAACATAATATACACATTTATAGCATTAAAATTAAGCGCATACAAGTTAGGAAATTATTAAATAACAATAATTATAATAATATTAAACACTAAAATGATTATATTGACATTTGAAGTTGTAACTAAATAGTTAATTGTTAATTTTAGTAAATACATACATACATTAGTTAATACATTTAATACATTTTTGTTGCTAAATTTATGTATACAAACTATATGCAATAAGAGGTTTTTGCTTATATCAAAAAAAAATAAATAAAAAAATTATCAATTAAACAAAAAAGCAGTATGCTTTAACTATACAAATGACTGCCAACAAATTGTTGTTTGTTAGGTGTGAGTGTTAAGCTGATGCCAGATAAAACTTTGTAGCGTTGCGTGACATTTATAACTTTGCCAGCAAAGCGCCAGACGCAAAAGGTATGCCACAATGAACGCCAAGAAATCAATTTTGCACTGCTTTTTTACTCGTCAAAATTGCTGTGGATTTTAGATATTTTGCTTTAAAATTATCAGCAATGTAATTGAGTTTTATGTTTCTGCATGAATACTCCAATTTGGACGAAACAAAATAAATATTAAACCGGCTGATTGTCAAAGCGCGCAAAAAGATGGGAGTTGGCCATCTTTCCGCTTCGCGCTGCAGCTTCAATGATCTATGTGGTATGCTTTGTGCATTTTCATATAATTCATCTCATCTGTCAAAGCGAATCTGTCATGCAAAGCGAAGCAAAAGTTTTATGTGGCATCAGCTTTATTTATTTTTTATGAACAATTTTATTTTAACAACGAACGCGAAGGTCTTAACGCAGTCGCTTGCCTTTCAGACTTAACGTCTTTAACTACGGATTTGTTCATGTGTGTGTAAGGATACTCGCTAGTTCCACTATTTTATTTATTTATTTGTTTTCATAATATGTATGTATGACTGTGTGCGTGCATCGAAAAAAATTAAATTTTCATAGTATAATATTTACAGTTAAATAGCATACTAAGTAGATACGTGATAAACTATTAAAGGGTACTTTACGCCAGGAGTTTCAACATACTATATACTTTGCAGTCATGCGCCATCGCTAAATGTGTATCGCCAAAAATTACCTAAATGAAATTATATATATCTATGTATATGGAATAGTCCAGACCGAATTTCCGAATTATGTTTTTAAATTACTACATTACAGGCTACTGAAATTTCCATTAAAAAGTATCAAAGCCAACACAGTGCAAAACCTTGAAACCACGCCAGCCAGATCTACATAACCGGAACAACCCATGCTGATGCAGGAAGTTACTATATTTTAAGAGTATTTATATATTAAATACTGTTTTGCTTAGGTTTATTAAAGTACTATACGCATATAGACTGATGGCATATCAAACAGTTACAGTTGCAATAATCACTACTGGATCTCAAATAGCACTTTTTGGTTAACCAAGTTGTCGATTTGTTTGCAAATAGTAAGTCAAGAAAAAACTATGATACAATATGCATCCAAGCGACATTTTGGTATGAACATATTTATTTTTTAACTGAAAAAAATACTTTGAAGGCGAAGGCCTATTTAAAACAACATTTGCTATGTAAATTCAAATTTGGTGTTTTCCATTGATGATGACAATATGTCCATAACTCTACAAGTAGTAATGGGGATTGATTATAAAAAATACTTCGATTATGAGCAATTTCGGCGGCGTTTTTGACTTAAGATAAAACGAGTTTTTTAGCAAAAAAGGCGAAATTTCACTAGAACATTTCAATGAAGGTATAGCCACCCTGGCCTTTCGGCATAACAAAGCTGGTAAGCCTACTTTTGCGTGAGAAAAGAAAAACCAGAAAACAATTGGAAATAGTTAGCTTAAAATTTGTCCAAATAGTTGCTTGCGTGGTTAATCTGAGTAGCTTAGATTTAGGCTGAGGTATCGAGCGAGAGTTGAGTTTTTGTTTCTAAATACCTTGCGAACAACGAATAATTGGTCTAAAGTGTATGCAGCATAGAAATCATAAAAGGTGCAACTGGCTGCGTTTCTTAAAATTTTATGGAGAGGAAAGGAAAAGCGGGGCATGTTTTCTATGTTCTTTGATAAGTATCTCTCGTTGCACTAGCTCAAGACATAAGGGAACATATACATAGTCGAAATAAAGACGATTCTAAAGTTAGCTGCAGCTTGCTTGACAGATATTCGATTGAAAATTGTGTAAAAGACGCTGCAACTAACTTTAGTGTCGACTTTAGTTTTGCTATGAATACGCCCCACAGATTTTAAATCTACAATATCTAATGTAAATAAGTTAGTTATTTCTGACGAAGACGATTTAATGATGGCACATTTGGGGCACATACGGGCTACAAAACCACTCATAAGTTTGAAATAATCGTCGATTAGATATCTATTAATTTTATTTAAACCTGTAAAAGACCAAGTAATCCGTTCACCAGCGCCCAGAATTCATTTAATTTACAATCAAACATATGCATTTATATGGTTAGTTATGTATTTTCGATGTTTTTATGAATGTTGGAATGCCAATGAGTTATGAGATACATATACATACATATATATGTATATGCGAACTTGTATGTAAGTATGTTTGCGATGCACGTTCACTTAGTTAAAATACAAAATTTAATGAATCGTAGTACAAAAATATTTGATTACCGCTAGCACTCTGTAGTCAGCATTTCAAAAGATCCAGCATTTTTTGGCCTAAATTTAATCAAGCGAAATCGGGCGATTTTACATCGCTTGTTAGCATAAAATTATTTTAACGTTTATTTTTTTATTACATACTGTGTTATGCAGCCTTTATGTAAATACGTACATATGTACATATGTATAAGTATGAGAGTGATGTATGTATGTGTGCAGGTGTGACGGTTAAGTTAGCAAATGAAATATTTAGCTGTATCCTTTTTTGTTTCGTTAGTTATATATGTAGGCATTTTGTAAATGATTTTTGTGGTAGTGGCGTAATAATGCTATGCGTATTTACGTATGTATTTATGCGTTTATGCAACGATTACTAAAATGTAAGTATGTAGTATTTAGCTTTAAACGTACAGCGTACAGCGTAATAGTACGCAAGTCTGATTTTTCGTTTCGTTTTTTGTTTTTATATGTTTTCTTTTTAGTTTTTGGTTTTTGCTTTGATTGCGTTTGTAAATTTAAAACTTCTCATTTTGCTGCTGATTATTATTTATCATTTTCTATACATTTAGATTTTAAGCCAACCCAAAAAAGTCGATTTTAAAGTGCGTACCTTTCCACTATCGCTGTCACTCTGTTGCTGTTGTTGTTGGTGGTCCCCATTGCCTTGTTCCTGTGATTGACTACGATTCGCTATGCGTGCACCCATCACCGAAGCGCTGCTAAAACGGCGCGCTGTCGCATTGCTATTTACCACACTCAGACCCGAGGAGCTAACTGAGCTATTGGGGGAAGCATTACCGCCAGTGGCGCGTCTCAGAAATTGTTGTGCGCCGTAACTACTAGTATTGAGCTGCATATCCTTGCGCAGCGTTGCATTCAGATGCGCTGCAATGGCGCTTGGCTTCGGCGTGCTACTCACTATGTAGCTGCCTGCCGAGCTGCCAGAAAGCGCAGTTGGCGAGCTCGATGTGAGAAGTGTCGAATTGGCGTGGTTGCTGTTGTTGCTGGCTGTAGGTGAAGTGTACGAAACATCGCTGCCACCACCGTTGCTTATATTTGAATGATGATTATGTTGATGTACACGCGAAAGTGAGTCCAAATGGCGAACGCGTGAGGTGAGCGATTCACGCTTTAGCTTCGGTAGTGGAGAGTTTTGTAAAACTCTCGGGGACGGAGTTGGAGTCGACGCGGTTGCACCAATCGGCGACTTCGAGGTAGCATTTGACAAGTGATGTGTCGCCAATGGTATAGAGGAAGATGTAGAGCTGCGACTCGTGTTGGTGCTCAATGACGAATTGTCTTTACGTATACTTTGTGCGGAGTCAGCGCGTTTCATACTGTTCGGCGACTTGCTGTAGAGCAGATTTCCTGTGCTGCGACACAGCGAGGATTTGCTCGATGAGTTAGAGGCGGCGTAGGTGTGAGTAGAAGGTGGCGAACGACCAGCTGTAGACGGTCGTCCACTAGGTGGTTTACCTGAAGCGATAAAGAGCGAACAGAAATGGGTGATTGATATTGGTGGGCAGTAAGATGCAATTGTTAATAGTACTATATACATATGATTACTGATAAATTCACAATTCACGATAACTAAAAAAAAATGTAACACACTTACCTGCAAAATAGGCCGCCGCTTTGCTTCCAGGCAAAGGAATCTTGCTGGGCTTGCTTCCAATGCTATTTTTTTTACCGCGCACCGCGCTCTCAAACGGGCTCACACCGCCCACACTTGCGCTCATTAGTCTGCTGGCCACATTCTGGGCATGGCCATTATCTTGCAGCTCATGATCATGCGCTGATTCTGTGCTGCTACTATGTTGCTGCAATTCATCCATCGGCAGATGCACCATCGCCTTCATGCTGGGCGTAGAGATTTGCGTTACTTGCGGTGCGGGCATTTGCCCAGCCGCTGATGTTGCTGTCATTGTCGCTGAAATTGGTGTGGCCGAACGCAAATCACTGAAGTGCAGCGTATCACTAGCGCCACTACCAATGCCACGCCGACTCAACATCAATGTGGTGGAAGCCGATGAACGATTTGTTTCGTAATCATTTTGCGAGTGCAAATATGAACTGGTAGGTGCACCACTGCTAGGCGTCACAGAGTGTATGCGAGACTCTAGTATGCGCAGTTGCGCTTTAGTGCCCTCCAACTCAATATTCTTCTCCTCCAGCTACAATGAAAAGAGATAATGTTAGTAGATGCACAAGAAGGCTATTATGTAAATTCGTTAGAAAAGTTGTGCTCACCTGGAAACGCAGATCTTCAACATCATCTTTCGATTTATCCAGTCTTTTGGCTAAATTTGATTTTGACTTGGTAGCGGAATCCAGTTTCTGCATCAGAACCTGTTGGAGTATGAGGAGATGAGTTAGACAATCGAAATAATTACCAATAAGAATTTCAATTCTCACCTGATTCTGCACGGTGAGCGTCAGCAGATGCCTTTGCAACTCAACTACGCTTGTCTCTAATAGTATTGCGGCGAAACGTTTCGAATCGATCATGCGGCATTTACTATAGCGCCCACCTGGTGTGCTCACAATGCCATCCAGTCGACCCAACTGCTTCTGCTGCTGTTGATCGCCCTGCTCCGATTGTTGCCTTTTAGTATCACTGCCTGTGCTTTGATGGAATGCAATGTGTATGTCCTCCGGGGGAGTTGTATATTGTGGACGCTGATACTGTTGCTGTTGATCAAACACCACCACTGGCTGGAATGTATGTTGACGCCGGCTTTGTGCGTTCGATAGTATGGTAGTGATGGTGTTGGCAGCTGCGCCACCGTCTTGAAGCTGTACTGAAGCAGCGCTACCTGTTGATAGCACCGTTGTTGCAGAAGATAAGAAATTGCGCTGACTCGAATAATCAGATTGACTAGAATAAAGGTTAAAATCAATAAATTAATATAAAGAAACTACTAACACAAACTAAACTACTAACACTTACCTCGATGAACTTTTACTATGCTGCAACTGCTGCGGCTGCTGCTGTTGTTGCAATTGCTGCACCCGCGCGCTCAATTCCAACTTCTGCGCCATCGCCAGCTTTAATTGCTCCTCGAGATCTTTCTTCACACTGATTAACTCCTCCACTTGATCATTCATTTTAGCTGCCTTAATGCGTCCAGTCAACGTTTCTGCTTCCATCTCGGCCAACTTGTCCAGCAGGCGATCACGCTCTCTACGCAACTGTTTGATATCCTCTTTGTTAAGACGTTCAACATGTTCGCGGAAGGTTTTCGGCGTAAGACCGGCAGCATTCACTGTACTTTGACTGCTGCCGCTAGCGCTGCTTGACTTTGCTAACACCGAAGAACTACGCGTTGTCGGTGTGGATGCTTCGTTTGCTGCAATCACAGTCGTTGTGGACTCATCCGCCAGATTAGTGTTGTTGTTAGTGCTAAGATTGCTGCTAGCGCCACGTAGATTCTGCCGCTCATACTGCTGTAACTGATCCATTTCTTCGCGTAAACGATTCGATTTGCGGTGTATAACGTCGAGCAGATTGAGTAGCTCATCGTCAGATTCGTGGCAGGAGAGGCGATTCAGCGCCGTGGCACCCTGCAATTTATAGAAAAAATTTACAAATTCAATTATTCGTTTAACTAGCTTAGCAGATGTGTCCACTCACCGTCATAGCACCGTTCGTAGACGATGCGCTATGACCTTCCTTCGAGGAGCTCGTCTCCGTTGAGAAACCAGAGTCCTGCACAACACTCCCATTATTATTCTCTCCACTCTTTGGCTCCTTTTTGCCGCTATGCGAGTTGCTGCGACTACGCGTCAGCGACGACGACGATAATTCGCCAGCTGCGACACCTGCAACGGCGCCAGTCGAATTCGTCGTCGCCACAGCGCTTGGGGTGGTCGGTGTGGACGGATCTTTTTGCGAAACTTTACGCTTCAAACGTATGCCGGGCTCCCACTCGCGTCTGTATGAAAACATAGGCATTATTAAGCCGCTTAATTTTCGCATTGTATTTTTTTTTTGTACTCACCTTGACACTAATGACGCATTAGACATTCCGCCACTGCCACCAGTCAGCGTGTTCGCGCCCGACACTGATGTGCCGCTCATCAACGTGCCGCCCGCCGCTGTCGTCGTGGACGCGGCCGATGAAGAAGACATTGAAGCCATTTTATGTTTGAGATCTGGAAACGTTTCAATGACCAGATCGCGAAATTCCAGCAGCGCGCCAACCTCATGTTGCAACTCCTGCAGCGACTTCGTCTGCTCGCTTTGTATGTGATGATGGCTGCTGCTGTGATGCAGCGGATAATTATTGCTGTACGGTGTGACGGCATGATGGCCAATCAAATTCAAGTGCGGATGATGTGTATGCAAGTTGGCGAGGTGTTGCTGATATGCACCGACAACGGTGACGGTTGGTGTGCTGCCGCCGCCACCCATAGCAGCCGCTGAACTGTTGCCGCTGGGCATGATTTGATGATGTGCACCGCCGATACCAAGTGTACCGATACCGCTGCTGTTGCTACTACTGGCGCCGCCTCCGCCGCCATTCATGATGGGCAGACAGTCCATGGCGCCAATAATTGCGGTTGCTGTTCCAAACCCGCTATTGTTCGTGGGGCAGAGTGCAAGGTCATAAGTGTCATTCTGTAAATGAAAGAAGAGAAAGAGGGGGAAATAGTGAGTATTTAATTATTGTATACATTAAAAAAAAACATATTTATCTACATAAAAGTATTTTCTCTATACATTTTTTCGACCAAAACTCAATTATTGTGGTAATTAAAGTTTGCCATTTTTGGACTCCATATAATAGCATTACTTAAGCATTGCCAGCAATTATATGTAATGTTCTACAACTTTTGTCAATACCAACGCCACCTACGTACAATTTTATTTTATTATATTTTTCTATATGCAATCTTTATTCGTTTTAGTCAACCATCAACTCAGCAGTTAGTCAATCAGCAAACCATTAAATCAACAAACAGCTAACGACTTTGCCGTACCCTGAATTCCAACTCTTTTTGTCTCAAATAAGAGTTTGCAATTCGCAGCAAACGAAATTAATATACCGGCCTTAGCTGGGTGTGTGTGTGGTTAGCAACTGACGGTGGGTGTCGCCGAGCAAACATGCTAGAGTAATTGGCGCTACCAACCTAATTGTAGTAAATAATCACCTAAGTGTGTAATGAAGTGACAAATATTTAGTATATAGAACACATACATACATACACACTTTGTACATACATATGTCCATATATACTCCATGGAAATGCAGCAAATTGACTAACGACTGCACGTTTTGGAATGCTAGAGGCGAATCGCCACCCTGCAAGAAATGTATAACTATATACAAACTATAAATTAACTTGAAGTTGATTGGGGAGAAAATACAGGTCGCTATTAACTGTAAATTTTCTTTTAGGAAAGCTAACTATGTATATTTGTTGGGCGATATAGTCAAGGGTTGCCTCTGCATTTGGTGGCAACTAACTTGTAACTAACTACTTTTGGACATAAAATATCAATAAGAAAAGCGATATTTTAATATTTTATGCGTAAGATATACATATGTGGTCAGGGGCGCGCCCAGGAATATATTTTGGGGGGTGTTCTACTTCTGCAAATTCGCTTCAGATAATATGCTCTTTAAAATACATGTATGCAATTTTTATGTACAGTATGTAATAAATAAACTTTTCGAAGTTTCATAAATTTTTTACAAAAAATTAACAAAGAACTGAAACTGAAAGAACTGAATTTATCAATTCGTCGGAATATTTTTTCATTTTTTTTTTTTTTTTTTTTTTTTTTTTTTTTTTTTTTTTTTTTTGTATGCTAACTTTGGAGCACATGAACCGATTTTAATAATTCTTTTTGTTATCGGAAAGATGGTACCTCAAGGGTCGTCCCATAATTTAAAAATTACTAGTTTAATATGTACAAGGTTCGATAAACACAAGATGCGCTCTTTCAAAGGTAATAAAAGATGTTAAAAAGGAGTTTTAATGTTAATTTTCCTCGATCTCTGGTTTCTCGTTTTCGATGGAGATGGTGATTTTTCACAATTGCCTTATCGTTTTAATATTTCGAATACCGAAAAAATTAACTGAACTTGTATTTTTATCATTTTGGTGGAACGAGTTCGAAGTTGGCAAATTAAATCTTCGAATCCTTGTTAAGTACATATCAGTGGTAAACTCTTTTAGGATGTAAAGTGTAAAAAACAACATTAAGTGGGTATGCATTGCATACTTTTAGGACAATGTCTTCATTCGCAGTTAAACTCTTAACAGCTCTCAAGAAAAACGGAAAATTCATATAAAATTACGCACACGAAATGGAAAAAAAAATTTCTTCTATCAAACTTTCTTAAACCAGTTTGCAGCTCTCAAGGAAAAAATGAACGAATACCCAAAACCCACCCCTGGTGTGGGCTTATGAATGCAGTCAACATCAAATTAAAGTTTGTCAAATCTATGTCAACGAAATTTAATTTATTTCTTGTATTTTCTTTAACAAAATAAAATTGAATTTCTTTTAAAATTTTGTACTTTATTTTAAGAATAAATCGTTTGATAAAAATTATCAATGTGAAAATGAGAAACAAATTGAATTGTATCAGGCAGATTCTAATCACTACGTAAAATTTACGCATAGTTGGTCTTAACGTAGAATGGAAGGACGTTTTGGTTGTAGGGTTAAGATTACATATGTATGTATCTGTTCTGCTGTACATAGGTGGCCCATATTCCAGTTCCGTCAGACATAACTTCAAAATGATAATACAAAATTTCGATCGATTAAATGGTAACTCACGATTACGCCTGCATTACTTCTCAACTAGTTTTGAATTAGCTTTTTGTAGTTAACGATAAGTTATATATTTTATCGAAATCCCGCAGAAAATCTAACTACAAGTGGGTTATTTTTTATCAATTGATAATTTTTTTCCTGCAGGGTATATAGTCGTACAATTGCATACAGATGTATATACATACCTATGTATATGTATGCACGCATGTATGTGCATAAACTTTCTAATTAAAAAGCAAATGAAATGCATTGGCGTTTACGCTTGTGTGCTTGTGTTAGTACAATGAGATATATAGCAGTGGTAAAGAAAGACCAGACGTCACTCTCACTTTCAATTAACCTACTCACCAAAGCTGAAGTCAAAGCCGATCAACACAATTCGCTTACTCAATTACGGCGTGCTAATGGGAATTAAAACAGCCTAAGAAATACATGAAAGCTTGTGAAAACATTTGCATTGCCATGCAGTGGCATCTGACCACAAAAAAAAAAATACCTCTAAGTTGGACGAATGAATTGTGAAGATGTGTTTTAACGGCGCAGTAATGCAATTTAAGAGTTTTTATAAATGGCCGTTGTAGCCGAGCGGCTTAGAGAGGTGCTTACTACCACTCCGTAGGATCGGGGTTCGATCCCTGGCCTGACCAACATCTAATATTAGGAAACGTTTTTCTAGTGGTAGTAGCGGCACCTCGGCAGGCAATGGCAAACATCTCGAGTGTATTTCTGTAGTTCGGGTGCGGCGTAAAATTGCAGGTCTTCCATTACATATATTAATATAACGCCAGGACGCACACCATAAATTGAAGGATAAGCTCAGCCAAATACTTAGCAAACGTGTAAGCGCAAAATATGTATTTATCTTTTGTACTTGTGGGGCATTGCAGCCCAATTAGGACATCTGACTTTTGCATCTCCCATTATTTCATAATTTTTTATGTTAGTTGAGAGATTCCTCCCTG